GTTAAATATCGGTGGGGTGGCCGATGTCCGATACTCAGTTTTCAGGCCGATACCGATAGGGGGCCGATTATATCGTGCATCTCTCCAAATAGTTTAAAGGTAAAAGTTAAAGTATTACATGACGTCTATGTTTGTTTCTTATGTTTAATTAAAATAAAAATAAAATAACTAAAAAATATATTTAATGAGAAGATTTCAGTTTATTAGAAAAGTGAAGAAAATCTGGATTTATTTCTAAACTTATTGTTTTTCTGAAAGCATCAAATCTGTTTCTTTAAATTGACGTCTTGTTCATGTTTCCGTCTTTTCATCCTTTTTTCAACCCTTTCCTGTTGCTGATCTCATCCAAAGTTTCTATCTTCTCGTTGCAGAGCTCATGACATCCATAAAACTCGGCTGAAAATGCTTTGGGGCCATAAAACGAACCAAACGGAGCCTTTCGGTGTGAGAAAGTGGGTCTGATTTCCCAAACTAAGGCTTTTTAATGTGTTCCCATGCAGCCAGGAACAAACGCTGGACTGGGAAGCTGGAAAGTTTTATTAAAACTCTGAGTCATGCCAAGGATAAAAAAAATCCCGCAGGAATATTGGATTACTCACTGCAGAAAAACAAAAAAAAAACACTTGTTAAAGTTCATTAATGACGCTGAAATGGGCTAAAATCTGTTCTGGAGCTCTGCCTTCTGTGATAGATTATTTTATCAGCTAATCTGGATTAATTGATCATCGTTGAAACGCTGCCGCTTTAAGAAGGTTTTGCTTTTTTCTCTGCTGCTGCAGAAAAGCTACAGTAAGTTTCTTAGTTTGGGATTATTTTGGAGAAAAGCCTCGCTCTGGGATTATTCCCTGCAGGGCGGATGGCCCCCCTCCTGCAGCCGCTCAGTCACGCCTCACGCTCCTTCAGCCTGTTTCATGCTTTCCTTTTTCAGGGGTTTGATGAGTCAGAGCAGAACTGATCATTTCATGTTTTTAAAAACAGGAAGGGTGGAGGAGACGAGGCATTTTTTCCCTCAGAAGGAAACCCCCAGAGCCGCGGTGGGCAGAGTGACTCAGGCCCTGAACGGAAACACATCCTCCACCCTCGCAGCGCAGCCTCCGTAGATCCACTTCCCTACAGCAGATCCATGGCTTTTATTACCAGGCAGCCGGTCGGGCAGCTCAGAGGAAGGCCCCATTGTTCCTGGTTGTTTCCCTGAAAATGTCAGCTGTGTCTCGGTGGTTTTTAAAACCCTCGATCGACTCTTTGGGTCACGCCACGTCTCCTCGTGGGAATCTCTGCAGGAATGGGGAACAGAATCCCGCAAACGTCCCAACAGAACCATCATCCTCCTAAATCATCAAAGCTTCTCCGTTCCCGCCCCTTTTCTGCGGTTAGGACACCCAAACCGGCTGCTACCGACTCCGTCCTGTTTCTAATTGGTAGCAAGGAGCCGCTGTTGGGTGGAACTCCTACAGAACCACAAACAAGTCCTCCTCCATGCTAGGAGTCCGGGAATTTAATGCTCCCATGAGCCGAAAGGAAAACGTAGGAAAAAGATTTCAGCTCAACCAGCAGTTTAGAAGCTGCTGGTTGTTCCTTTTGTATCTATGCTTCTTTTTCTATGTCTGCTTCTGTCTCC